TAATAATTAATAATAAAAAGATTTTAATTTATATTTTTACTTTTTATTTTATTAATAATATATTATAATAAATTAAAAATAATAAATTTAAAAATTTTTATATTAAAAAATTTTATTATTATTATTATATTATATTTATAAAAAAAGTATTTTAATTATATTTAAATTTTAATATTATTAATTATAGTTAATATTACCATTAAATTATATAAATATAATATATAATAAATATATATATTAATAATATTAAAAAAAAATATATAATATATAATAAAATATATTAAACTTTTTACTATTATTATAATTTATAATTTTAATTTTAAATTTAATCTTTTTATAATTATATAATTTTATATATTTAAAATATAATAAATTATTTTATTTAATATATATATTTTTTATATAATAATATTTTAATATTTTTAGCAATAATAATTTATATTTTTATATTATAAAATTAATTATTTTCCTTTAATATATATTAGTTATAATTGCTAAAATACCATTTATAAAATTATAATATATTTATTTATATTATATAATTTATTATTATTTTTATATTTTTTTATAATTGATTTAAATTTATATATATTAAGTTTATATTTATAAAAAAAGTAAATATATATAGTAATAATAATCTAATTTATTTTATTATAAAAATATATATAATTATTATAAAAAATAATATTATTTTTATAAAATTTAAAGTTTTAATAATTAATTATAATAATATAAAAATTTTAATTAAAAAAATAAAGGTTTTTTTTAATTAATTAAATATTTATATTATTAATTTATTAAAATTTTATATTAATTTAATTATATTAATTTAAAATATTATATTAAATAAAACGTTTATTAAATATATCAACGAAAATATAATTAAATAGTTTATTTAATATTTAAATAATATATTACAATTAAATATTTATATTATTATATATTATGTAAATTTTATAAAAAAATATAGTTTAATTATTAATATTAACATATTAATTAAAAAAGATTTATATTAATATATTAATATATATATAATTTTATTTAAATATTTTAAAATTAATATATACCGAATTAATTATTTTAATATTAAATATATAATATTAATAAAATTTAATATTTAATTTGTTATTTGGTTTATTATTTAAAATATATTTAATAAATAAAATTTAAATTTTATAATTAAATTATAAAAGTTATACTGGAAATATTTAAATTTATTAAAATATATTTTATTTTATTTTAATTGGAATAATTTAATTAATATTGTAAATAAAAAAAATATAAAGTTAAAAATATTTATATTTATTAATAATATATATATTAATTTAATTATTATTAATTTTATTTTATTAAAAAATATTTAATATATTAAATATTTTATTTTTAATAAAAATCTTTTATTTATTAAATATAATAATTTATTTTTTATATTTAAATTTAATTTTTAATTAATATATTATTAAAATTATAATTATAATAATAATTATTTTTATATATAAAATTATAATATTTAAATATAATAAATATATAAATTTATTTTTAATTAATAATAAATAATATTTATATATTTATAAATAAAATTAATTTTTTTATTAAATATAATAATATTAAAAAATAATTTATTTTTAATAAAAATAATTATATTTAATATTATAATTTAAATAATTTTATTTATATTAATTATATTTTTTTATTTAATATTTATATTAAATAATATATTTTTATAATTATTATATTTTTATATTATATTAATATTTATAATAAATTTATTAATTTAAATATTTTATAAAAATTAATTAATAAATTATTTATTATTAAAATTATAATTATTAAATTAATTAAATTATATTTAATTTTAATTAATAATTTAAATATAATTTATATAAAATAGAAAATTTATTAGTTATAATATTAATAAAAATAAATTAAAAGTTTATAATATTTTAATAATAATTTATATAATTAAAATAATTTTTTTAATAAATTTAATTTTTATTATAATAATAATTTTTAATAAAAAATAATTTTTAAAAAAAAAACAATTTTTAAAAAAAAAAAATTTTTAAAAGAAAAACGGTAATTATTCGGGTAACAATTATTTAAGAAATAACGTTACCTTTCTAATAAATAATGCATATGAGAGGTACGGTACTCCGTTAAGGAACCGTTTCTCAAAACCACCCTTTGCCGCTATGGTAGTTATGCATTATTACATACTCCATAGGGTTATATCGCTTATTTCTCTGGTTGAAAGCAACCCGTACCTGGGTCCGGAAGCCTTGTGATGATGCCATTTGGCAATCCTATCATACATTCCATCCATAAGTATATGCTTTTTGGCTTTAAGAAGTAGACAGTTTACAGCTTTGGAAGTATTTATTTCGGCTTAAGTGTTGAATCAATAAGATAATAAAGTGTTCAAGATAGACAGTGTGTCATTTTACACTAGTATATGAAAATGACTGCCTGTTATTGAAGTCGTAAGGCTACAGTTACTCATAGTCTTCGATACAGTAATAAATTTACTAAGCAACGTCTTCGACAATCAAAGGTCTGTTTTACTTTTTATTGGAGTTTGGTATCTATTATGAACGCTTATCATGAGATATCCTTGAGTCTTTCACACCTCCAGGAGCTCGTTGTATTGGTAGTACTTACAACTCTGATAAGAGAAGAAAATCTATAAGTTGAAGCTTTGGCACTTAGATGTTTACCAGCAGGAAGATATATTGCCGCTATTTTAACGATACTACTCCGTGAGCTTTGATATAACCAGTCGTAGTCGTCTTTCAAGGGACTCATACTATACTAAATGTTATCATGTCGGACATTCCGAGTCCAAGTACTCATGATTTCGTGCGCTTTTATTCTTGTTATAAAATATATATACACCTTGCGTTAAATTGCCAAGACCCTGCATAATTACAGGGGTAAGTTTTCGTTGCATATGTACAGCCGAACATGCCGTCGACCCCAGCCCCCTAACCTAGATTTTTCTTGCTTCACAACATTATTGAAAGTGAACATCAAGATGAATTACAAATTATCTAGAAGTAAGTGCTGTCATTACATCCATTCCTGTTCAATATAGGTACCTATTATGTGGCTGATACCCTTCCATAGAATTTAATGAGACGGACATCGGTCCTATCAAGTTGAGTAACCCATCAACTTCTACACCAAGCCCAGGGGGCATTTTGACAGTAACACTTCATGAGGGTATTGGCCTTTCCGTAGCGGAGAATTACAAGGAAAGCTCTAACGGCGAGGAACATAATCACCATGCGGGGCGCCGCCCGCCTGTCTGTGCGCGATGCAACTATCCGTATGCGCTTTTAGATTATGAAAAATCTCAGGCGACTCTCGACTGTTACTGGGGGACAACTGAAAGTCCTGTATGGAAGTCCCAGTTTGCTACATGTAAATTCGACGTTTCGAGCTTTTCTGAGTTGACAATATATCTTTACATTCGGGATCCTAGTCGCTCTTTGAAGAGTCGCGATGTTTGTCTGGGTGTAGCACGGGTAAACCCCTTTGACGGACTTGAGCAGTCCGAAGTACGTTGGCTGGAACTGCAAGATGGTATGGGGAAGCTACGCATTAGCTTTGAATATGCGAACCCTGAAAATAGAACGTTAGAAGAGAGGGACTTCGAACGTGGAACACCTATCTTCGGTATATGGACCTCTGGTATTATTAAGAAAGACACCCAGCGAGTATATGCCGAATCGAAGATTAGAACAACCCAGCTTAATTCTCAGCCTAAGTTGGAAAGAATTTGGGATTACCAGGTCAGCCATCCTTTTATAGCATCGCTCTCATTTGCTTTCGAATCATCAGAGGGTTTAACCCTCCTTTCTCCATATATCAGCGGCGGGCCCCTTTTCAGTCAACTTCAGAAGGATCGATGCTTCGATGTTGATAGATCCCGACTTTACGCTGCTGAGATTACCTGTGCATTAGAGTATCTACACAGTACTCGCAAGGTCTTCTCCTGGTTGAAGCCTAGAAATGTTCTTCTTGATTCATTCGGCCATGTTGTTTTATGCGGCTTCGGCCCTTTCAATTCTCATGTCAAGAGCGGGAACCATGGGACACCTGAGTATCCAGCACCGGAACTGCTTCTTGGCCAAGCTGAATCCATGACGGCAGACTGGTGGACATTAGGAGTCTTTCTCTACGAAATGCTGACAGGACTACCCCCATTCTATGACGAGGACCACAGTAAGATACGCCAAAAGATCCTCTCTCAACCTGTCCGGTTTCCCAACTCCTTTCCTTCCATTGCCAAGGATTTTATAATCAAACTTCTTGACCGCGACCATGGGCAGCGTCTGGGGGCTAATGAAGGTGCCTCAGAGGTCAAATCTCATCCCTTTTTTGACGGTGTGGATTGGAATAAACTCCTTCAGCGGAAGTCCACGCCTACTTTCCGCCCTGAATTTGTTTCTAGTTCCTTCAAGCAATACGGAGTGAACGACCCCTCTAAGGACGATTTTGTGTCTCGCTGGATAACTTCACTTGAATCTACCAAAGACCCTGAAACCAGCAATCCTCCAGCCCAGGAGACTCATCAAACAGTTGTGCGAGAGGATGATGGCTGGGAATTAATATGGGACGAAGGTCGTTGTGAATTCGACTTGTACAATCGCTTCACGAAGGCAAAAAAGCCAGCCCCTCCCCGACACGGGGAACCCCTAAAGCATGACGATGTAGTTGTCAATGAGAGCACCGACCCCACTGTTCCTAGTCAAACCCAGAAGCAAGACGTACTCGAGGCAGCATTGCAAGCCGGACATGATCGCGTTGTTTTACAACTGTTAGGATATGAAATGGACTTGAACATAAGGACTGGTGCTAAGCGAGTAAGTCCATTAGAATGGGCCGCGGAGGAAGGAAACTTCCCTCTGGTAAAGCTCTTCCTCAGCAAGGGGGCCGATGCGAATTTCCCGAGTTTTATCGTCCGCGGAATGCATAAAGGAGGGCCTGCGTTAGTCAGGGCCGTGGAGAAAGGGAATCGAGAAATCGCCCAGATCCTGGTGCGAGCCACTGATCGGGTAGCCTCAACGAGAGCTCTGGGCCTCGCCGTGTATCAGCAGGATATCCCGATGGTCAAACTCCTACTCGAAAATAGCGTCCGTTGCGAATTCGAAGAGGCAGATCGGCCTCTTCCTTGGGACCCCCAAGATAACGGCTGCTATTTCTTCGACCGGACGGAATCAGAGGAATTCATACCCCCGCTCGTCCGTGCAGTTAAGAAAGGCAATACGGACCTCACTCGGTTACTGCTCTCACACGGGGCGGACGTTAACGCTAGCTACCATGGTCTGCTTTGGGATTTATATGAGTATAACATAGGAAAGGACCCGATCTGGTTTTCATGCGGTCGGCCCGTCGAGTTGGCTATGGAACTGGGACATGATGAAATTGTTGAATTGTTGCTTGACAGTGGCGCTGATATCAATCTCCCACGGCCTAGCTGGCCTGTGCCGGGACATGATTGTGGATTGGTGCCAAGGCTAGTATATCAGAAGGTTACGGCGCGCTTAAGACAGGCGCTGGCGTCAAGGCATGATGGTGACACATCTGTATGAAGCATACGAGAATAGCAGATTCCGACCAAAGAGTTAATATTGATCATATGAATTTGCTGTAGATCAGAGTTAGACTGGCACACTTCACTGATCTAACCGCGACCAGATGTCCATTATGCTATCCCCGCGTTGCTTTTTGACAGATCTGGCATTGCCACCTTCCCATCGCTAAGTATCTCCATCATATAGTCGTACATCAATCTTGAGACCATTACGGTATACGAAACGAGGGGCATTCAGTTGGTCCGAGTCAGCAGAGTCTAAAGCGGCCTGAGCCAAGCCCTTTGATACATCTTCCACAGATAATAAGTCGAGGCGTCCATTTACGCTTGTATTATCTATAAATAGAACTGCCCCGAGCATTTGAAAATTGACGCCGCAATATCAAGCTCAGGAGCACCAATCAAGTCCACAGTGCCGGTATGTTGTCTCAACAGGAACGGTCTAGATGATAGTACTTGGAACTGCGACACCAGCAGAACCGCCATCCTGGTTATCCTCAGTTTTCTGGATGATAGATTCCATATAGCCACTATCCTCTACTACTTAAATAAGTGATTGCAGGACTATGGCAGCAAAGCATTCACCCCGCGGATAAACGTCCGCGGAGGAGTCTGATATGCCTTAATGTCCGTGTCGCTCGATGTAATGCGATAAGGCTTGAAGGGCCCCTTTAATAAATAAAAGGGATAAGATACACGATTTGTGATTATGGCTCTAATTGTTCCGGTACCGGTATATGGCAAATAAGAGAGAAATACGGCTGTAGAGCCATCTTTAGCCTATTTTAAATACACTGGGCGAGACGTACATGCGTTATGTGTCTAGAAATGGATTACTGAGCAGTCTTATAAAGCCCAACTATAAGGTTGCCAATCGCCAGATTCGATATCTTAGACAGGTACCTATCTAATATTACTAAATAGTAATTTCTAAATAGTGACTTGACTGGATACCACCGAGGGGCTATGACAAACTTACTGTAATTCATATTATTTAATCTATCATATATCATTTCTTAATACCGGCATAATGCATACCTTAGTTATTTACTGCTGCAAGATTCCGAGCAATGATCGCATTAAGCTGCCTTTTCCCCTTTTCGAAAATAGTAAGATCATAGATCCATATGCTTCGTGAGACTATACGTATCATCTTACTTTTACATACATGTAGGTGAATGGAGGTATCATAGAGGAACAATAGTTTATCCATAATGATAGGAACCTATCTTCCCCTCTTCGACATGTTGATCGAGCTGCAAATGCGACAGTTTCACCCAGCATACTTCATTCCTCTGGAACTGTATTCACAGCCTTGCCATTTTCTATGTACACTGTCTCCCAACCGACTTTAACATATCCTTTGGAAGGATTAATCCATCCAACTTCTATGTCGCCTCCCTTCCCCTGGTAGTCAGGATCGCCTATGATTGCTTTCATTTCGTCGAAGTTGCGGACATAATATGTACGAGTGAAATGGGCCTCCAGCATTGACCAGTCCGGACGGATTTTAGCAAGCGCTGGGCCAAATTGTCCGGCAAAAGATGAGGGAGTGATGGTCTATGTGCTGGTTGGAACTCTTATCTACTATAAGCATGATTATGGAAGAAAGACGTACGGATGTGTAGCGAACCACGTTGTGCCTCTTCATAATGCCGACCCATTTAGGAGTTAGAACTTCGCGGACATAGTTTTCGAACGCCTCGTCGGTCACGGATTCGAGCTTATAATGGAAAGCTTCAATTTTGAGAAGAATTTCTGACGCCATTTTTTTTTACGCGGAGTTAGATGTCTAGAAAGCTAAAAGCGAGGACATGACAAGTTTCTAGAACCAACTACTGGATCTGCGAGAACGGGACCTTTTAAATATACCTAGATATTATACAATAATCAAACACAATAATCAAATATGAAGTATGGTTACCCAAGTCAAACCTCGTAGCCTCTTAGCCCCTATCGACGCTGAGAAAGTGGAATTGATGCTACCATGTCATGACTCAGGGTTTGGGGGGTTTTCGGTTAGCTGTCTTATGTATAAATTTGTATCTACTGGTTAGTGGCGGTGATAAGACTAGTACCTCTTCTACTTAGTTAACATACCTTAAGAGGGAAGTATATCTCCCATTTCTTGTGGATTTGATCCGTTAGTTGTTGGACTTTCCGGGACACAGGAAAGTGCTACGTTAAACTAACAACGTCTTATTATAAGAATTCCTATATCACTTAAAGTAGAGAGAACATTAAGTCTCAGAAGCGGCAGTAAGGACCTTAGATGTTTTTTTATGAAGTTTCATATTACACATGGTTAGTATAGATTAGTGGAACCCTATAATAACGAAATAACATCTAATATGATTACGAGGCATTTAGTCGGTTATAATCATCTGGCCTAATACGTCGTTTACACTTCGAACAATGTCTCCTGTGGCCTTAGGGGTAATCACGTGCTAATATACATAGGTACATCTCTTACCTACGAGTGGGCCCATATTTTGTAATCGTGCAGGGTGGCTGTGCTTCATTTTAATGGAGGAGAGTGGAGTTCGTATCTGGCATCGACTAAGCCACGCAATTGTACATAGTACAGACAATCAGTCCTGGAGATTCATGGCTGATTCTTGTCTGCGACATCAATCTTTTCTGTTTCGAACATACTGCCTGGGACGTTACCCCGTTATCAACAATCAATATTCTCGTCGTCGCACTGGTGTATACGATAATAGAAACTTAGTGCTTCCATGTCCGATTGAGCGTTAATTTCCGAGACCGAGCGACGAACCTCCCGGCTGCCCCGGGTCCCGAGTCTCTCATTAGACGGGCGACGTAAACTCCAGGCACCCCCCCGATCATAGCTCTATCGCGAACTACCCGACGCCTTCTCTCCCCCATCGCTCCCCTCGATATCTCATAGAACCAAAGTATCTCAATAGTCCACAATGGACGACTCGTCGCCTCCCGAGAGTATCGACAACACCAAGGAGAAGAAGAAGAGCAGAAGACCCGCGAATACCGCGTTTCGCCAGCAACGATTGAAGGCATGGCAGCCAATCCTCACGCCCAAGACGGTCATTCCGCTCTTCTTCGTCATAGGAATTATATGCGCGCCTATTGGTGGACTGTTGATTTATGCCAGCTCTACAGTATGACATGTCTTCTTTCGCGAACGTATGGATCACTGCTGACAGCTTGTCTTCAAGGTTAAAGAACTTCGCATCGATTACACCGACTGCTTCCGGGATTCTCCTACCGACGAAGCTAAACTTATGGACACGAGTTTGATCTTTCCGTCTTTCAAGGACAATAATACAATCAACGCCATGTGGCAACATTCTTTAACTAACCAGACTTACGGCAACTACCTTGTTCAGAATCTCACCAAGTGCACTCTGACATTTGCGATACCTGAAGAGATGGCCCCTCCAGTTCTTCTCTACTACCGCCTTGAAAATTTCTACCAAAATCATCGCCGCTACGTCCAGTCCTTCTTTGATAAACAGCTTGCCGGCGATGATGTCTCACTTGTCGATGTTTCTAATTCGAATTGCGAGCCCCTAGCTACAACTAATGGTACACACCCAAACTCGAGAGCCTATTATCCTTGTGGCCTGATTGCCAACTCGTTATTCAACGACACTTTCCAAAGCCCCATATTTTTGAACCCACCAGATTCAAATGGCTCAGAGAGTAACGAAACTTATGTTATGAAGAACACTTCGATCTCCTGGGAATCGGATAAAGAGCTATATAAGCCTAGGGTGAGCAACGACTATACCAAAATCGTCCCGCCCCCTAACTGGCAGATCCGGTACCCCGATGGGAACTATTCTACTGAAAACCCCCCGCCCAACTTGCACGAAGACGAACACTTCATTGTGTGGATGCGTACAGCGGGTTTGCCTACTTTCAGCAAACTGTATATGCGGAACGATACGAGCCCTATGAGAATAGGTACCTATTCTATGGATATTATTGATAGTAAGCTATCTCTGCGTATTTTGACCGTAGCTTTGCATGAACTCACTAACACATCAAAACAGATTTCCGCACGGATCAGTACCAGGGCAGGAAGAGCATTGTCATCACAACGCTGTCCGTCATGGGCGGCAAGAACAACTTCCTAGGTATCCTGTGGCTCGTTGTCGGTGGCTTCTGTATTGTATTAGCGTTAGTGTTCCTCGTCACGAACCTTATCAAGCCCCGGAAGCTTGGTGACCACACCTATCTATCGTGGAACAACGCCCCATCGTCCGCGGCCGCGAAGGGCAAAGGTAAGGCGTCCGGCCCAACGATAGGTATGGCGACCGGTCGCGATCTGTCGTAGGGGACGAATTTGCGCGGGCTGACGCCTGTTGAGAGCACGGGACGGCAGAGTCGGAATGGTTTAGCTGCGGAAGCGGCGCAGGAGTCGCCGACGGAGTTGTCTGTACTGACGCCTGAACCTGATACCCCTCCAGGAGGCGAGACTAGATCAGGGGAATCCGGGTTCCCGTCACCCTATCTTCCAACGTCGCGATACCGACGGATATACGGTGGCGAGACGGTTGGCGAATCTTCTCGAGCAGGGGCAGAACGGATTTCAAGATGAAAAAGGTCTCATTTCTTGGAAGAAAGCACGACGGGCATGACACGGGTTTACATCAATTATTTCTCTTTATCTCCCTTCCATTTTCTACAGTATTTCGGGGGACAGGCATAGATATGGAGACAATGCCTTTCCTACCTAACCTATTTGTATGAGTACGTCTAGCATGCTGCTACCTCCACCGTTTTCCAATGGGCGGCCAGCACATAGCAAAAACAGCAAGCACTGTCTGGGAGTTCTGCGGCGTTTCCGGTTGCGGTTGTTGACTTTTTATTTATTTATTTATTTATAAATTCTTATGATTTGAGGTTGGCACCCCTAGCTGATACAACTGAGTCGCGTGTTCGTTAAGGTACTTAGCGGTTTCTATGGGGGCTTGGTAGAAATAAAAATCATTAGAGGATATTTACTGTTATTTTTAGTTATAGTGACCATCTATACCTATGTCTGTGAGAGATGTAGAGTTGGAGGCGTAAAAATCCGATGCAAATTGGCGATATTGTATACGGACCGGTTAGTACCTGAGTAAATAACTCCTTCTACGTACCTAGCCATAGCATCAGTAGCAACACACCCCATAGAACCTATAGAAGGGAATGCTTAATAATTGCATTGCTATACCATAAAGCAAATATATATATATATATGTATAGCACACAATGCGATTCGCCTTCCTACCTAAGGTAGCTAAGAGCAGGGATCCCTATTCCCCATACGTATCTTTCCCCTTTTCTTCCTCTGCCATAGTCATTGACGTCTGATAGTATAGATCTGGATATGCCTGTCCCGTGGTACTTCTTCGTTGAAGCCCTTTTTGTTTTACATGAATAATATACAACCCCCTTTGATCGCCCTTTTAGCAACTATTTACGATTCCAGAGAGCCCACCTACAGCTCGGGAGAGTCTAGCGGCCGGAGTGTGTTCTAGTGCCCAAACTCGCAATTTGTTACTTACTCCTTCCGCTTGCTTCGCCTCGGAGGCTAGGACTGTGTGGGCTCTTCGACCTTGCTTTTCTTGGTCTCTTCCTCGCCTGGCGCGGTGTCCTCAGCCTTGCGCTTTCCATTCGTCGCCTTCGCTTGCTCGGCTTCGGGTTTCGAGTCATCTTTAGCCTTCTTACGCACTAGGCCAGATACATCCTTGGCACCCTTCTTCGCCTCCTCGAGTCTCGCCTCCTTATTCGCGGTCGACTCGCCCAGCGCTGTACCGAGTACTCCGAGCATGGTATCGTCAGATGCGAGAACCGAGTTGACGTCCATGGGGGGTTTTCGGAGCTCGACAAGCTTTATTGGTAGTAGTTAGTCTTATTTGCCACATCGTTCTCGTACCGCGACACTAGGGAGTGTACGGGGAAGTGAAAAACTCACCCGTTGCTCCATGTCCGCGATCAACTCCTTAACCTCGGCAATCTGCTTCCGTGTGACGTCGTTATCCTCAGGCGCGTGGAGCATCGCAAGGTCGACCTCTCTGGCGTCAAGCTTGAGCTTCGTGCTTGCAATAGCCTTCTCCAACTCTTCAGCCGCCTCTTGTCGTAAGCCTTCGTCGACTGGTTTTAGTCCCGCGCTAGCTTCGTCTTCAGCGCTTGTGGTAACAGATGCAAATTCAAGAGCCAACGAAAGTTTAAAGTGCGCTTCAGCTATCACCTCCGACTCCTGAGAATAGAGACCCTCCTTATACTTCAGAGAGGCACGGCAGTCGTTAATTGCTAGTGGGTACCTGTGCCACTGTTAGTATTCGTAGGTGAATAATAACAATGAGAAATGCGGAAGTTATCATACTTCTCATTTTCGAGGGAGATCTCTGCTAGAAGGTCGTGGGTATCTGCGAGTCGTTCCTTGATATGCTTGACAGTAGGGTTATCCTCTTCAACCTTCTCTTTTCCCTTCCCTTCTGAAGAGTCTTCATCTTCTCGTTCTAAAGATTTCTCGAAAAGCACACGTGCTAAATCTAGAATCTCAAACGCGACAGCTAGATCATCGTCTTCTTCTTCTTCCTCGCCTTCAGCCTCCTCTTCCTCGTCCGAGTCCTCAAACTCTTCGTCACCTGTAAATTGAAAAAGCGGTTTCTTGGCATCGGATACCTTTTCACTCTCATTCCCATTCTTAGCAACAACGGCAACTTCCTCCGCCTCGGTTTTCTCGTTCTTAGTCGCACTGGCAGTCGACGCTTCGGCCTGTGATTTTTTCCCCTTCAACTTTTTGTCTGCGGCGCCATTGGACTTCTTTTCGCCAGTAGGCTTTCCACCTAAGACGTCACTCTTACTCTGGCCAACCTTGAAGAGGCTGCGACCGTAGAGAAATAGAATATCCGCGTTTTCGGGGGCCATCTCGCCATTGATCTCGGCCTGCATTTCGGTAGCTTGGGAGAAGACTTCGGCTGCATCCTCATACTTCTTCTGCGCATACAGCGCGTTCGCCTTAGCCGTCAGGTCGGCTAGCGACACGTGCAAGGAATTGGCGCGCTCATCGGGATCCATAGGAGGTAGAGACTGGGGAGTGCCCGCAGCTGATGCGGCAGCTGATGCGACAGCTGATGGGATGGCTGATAATATCGGAATATCAGTCGGAGTTGGCTCTGCCATTGTGATGGTAGTTGTATGAAATTGTTATGGGATTGTAATTGTTATGATGGAGCTTTGTCGAAATTGGAGATTATCGCGAAGTGGAAGTGGAAGTGGAAGTGGAAGTGGAAGTGGAGAGCTTGTACGATAATGTTCTACCAATTATAAGGGTGTAGGCTAGGTATAGATGGTAACGCGATCTAGAATATACCTAGTGGTTAATATTTGATATTCGCGCCGATATGTAGATGCGAATGGTGTGAAAAGGTGAGGTCAGGTGTAGTTGTGATTTTTTCTCTGGTGGTGTGTTAGGTGAGGACCGTGAGGTGCGGAAGAGTGACGCGATTACCGCATGCAGACCTGCCCACGAGCCACGAGGATAGAAGCTACGGCGTGAACCGCGTCGAGTTACGGGTAGGCGGGGCTCCGCAAAGCTTGGGCCATGTTAACTGCTGACCTCATATACTACACGCAGCACTTACCTTAGGACCTTAGGTAAGCTAAGTTATCTACGTCACTGTATATACTCACTTTGGATACTGTAGAGATCTAATACATATCTTAATTCACGTGATATTGCTGGCTTTTAGATTTAGATCAAGACAGATCTTACAAAATTCGGTAGAGAAGCGGCGCATTTTAAAACCATGAGGATTCGTGATTAAAACCCTAGCAATCCTCATGTTTACAGCTTCGTCTTCGTTCTATTGACATTACTCTTATAAAAGTTATGCAATACGACATCGTGTAAAAATCATCTCGGCTTTAATGAAACCGGAGATATGGATAGGCTCTCGTGGGTTAAAAATATTATACTCATCCCCCCTATCTCGTATATGATAGGTGTATCATCAAACTAATCGCTTGGCGTTGAAAGAATGATAACGCACAGGTATTTTCTCCCCAGCTTTTACGAAGTATATTGAAAACTAAATAATAAGCATATTTACATGTAGTCAGGGTTTAAATGTCAAACCTTGACAACGTCAAACCCAATGCTCGGTGACGGGTGGTGTTGAGTTTTTCGATGCCGTGTACTTATAGTGAATACATGGATGAATGTTTAGTGGCTATGACGTGCAGCTTTTGAAGGCTAAGGGTTACTTTGCTTTTGAGAAATGGGGATATGGTTAAGATAATTACTTATAAGATAGTAACAAAAGTATTTAATACTATATCTTATCCGTATGAACCCCTTACTTATTCATATAGATGATCCGATTGTGAGACCCCAAAGACGCAAATAAACAGCATATGACATAATATCCAACAATCGGCAAGGGGTGCGACTGGTGGTTGGAGCTGATGATACGGTGATAACCGGGGACAACTGAGACTGTGGGTAGCACGGCATTAGTGTAATAAACTGACACCCGCCCTGCCGCCTCATCACTTCTTTAATTGGCATTTTGAATAATAGGAATGGAAAGATAGAAGCAGATCAATTCGACATACACGTACAAATTGAACATTTGCACACCTATAAACTTACATGTATCAATCAAGTAGTTACAGAAAATCTCAAATATGTTTTTACAGGCATACGACCTAATGAGGTTTGCTGATGCACTCTTAATTTCTTGTTATTCGTACGACGATACGAGCTGATGCGTGTACATAGAAATAACTAACCTACTCAGGCATCACCCATCCGTATATCTCCACTTTGAAAGTACGACCGCAGATCTAGACCGGGTAAGCCGGCCTATGTAGTTAGTCAATACTCGTCGCAAGGTCTTCCTAGATATTATTATTTTTTTAACATGCCAGCACGCTAAGCTACACGCTATGCATGCAGTACTCGCTACACTTGTTAGCACTTGCTGTACCATCTAAAGTGCCTTCGTACCTCTTTCCCAGTCAATCTAGGTACCTACGTAATGGTTAGATGTATGGTATGTTAGGTACATAATGTAGTTATATTCTGTACATACATGTAGGTAAGCGCAAACCTCCACTTGCCTATGTATCCAAAAGATCCAGATCGTATTTTTATTTTTATTTTTATTTTGCGCTGGTCTCTTTCAACCTCTCCTTTGACTTGTGGTTATGATTTCTAGGTTATTTCCATCCCACCTGGGACTTCTTCTTTTTGGGCTTTCTCGACCCCATTGTTCTTCTTTCTACGTACCAGTTACCCAGATCCTACGTTAATTCTCACAAGCCTGCGAGCCTGTTTAAGTGGAATTGCCTTACCAATGTTTTCGCCCTGCCGCTCGCCTCGATAATTCCCCTCTTAATGCTACCCGCCTTACAACAATCAAGGCGCCTGCTATTATCATGATTGTCCCACCCAGCTCTCGCCGGCTTAGGGTCTTTGGCGGCGTTGCCATCCTGACCTTAATCGCGACTTACATCCACATTCGTTCGCAATGGGATGAATCCTCATTCGGATATGCTCGTGGTTATTATAAGAGCGTCACAAGCTACTTTGGTAGTTCGGTATACAACAACACCTTGTATTCCGAAGGGAATGAGGAAACGGTCAACCAATATTACAATGCCAGCAACCCTTGCGCCAATTTCCCCGATACCGACGGCATACTCCTGGTGATGAAGACGGGCGCAACAGAAACCTTCGATAAAATGCCCGTCCATCTTCTAACAACAATGAACTGTCTTCCCGACTTTCTCATCTTCTCTGATATGGTGCGATGCCTTATATCCTATTTTCCTTTTTAGTATCGGCATCAAAACGACGTCACAACTCAAAATACTCAGAGATACTAATCGGATCGTAGGAACAACAAGTTGGTCCATACCATATCCACGATGCCCTCGCCGAGGTTGACGAATCCGCGAAGGCCCATAATGCTGATTTCGACCTTTACCGCGACCAAAAGGAATGTCCCGTATCGCAGAAGTCGTGCGTTGACGCGAAGAGGGACGGACAAAAGGCGTGGAATTTGGACAAGTACAAGTTTCTCCCGATGATGGAACAGACTTGGAGGATGCGCCCAGGCCGAGACTGGTATATATTCGCCGAGGCTGATACCTATATCTTCTGGGCCAATATTGTACATTGGCTGAAGACCGAGTCCGGCTTAAACCCTCGTGAGAAGCTCTATCTCGGCAGCCGAAGCTTTATTGGGGGAACTCCATTTGCCCACGGAGGTTCCGGATATATACTTAGCGGGACGCTATTGAAGCATTTGATTGAATATCACCCAGGCGTGGTCAAGCAGTATAATGTCAAGGGGGCTCATGAATGTTGTGGCGACTTGATGCTGGCGCAGGCCTTGGAAGAGTATGAGAGGGTTAAAATCCGGCAGGTTTGGCCCATGATCAACGGTGAAAAGCCGAGTACACTCCCTTATGGACCCGGTCATTGGTGCGAGCCGATTTTCACAATGCATCATATGAATGCGGAGGAAATCAGTAACGTGTGGCAGTTTGAGCAAACACGCAAGACCGATGTAAGTGTGCGGTTTTATCTTCCCTCTTCCCTGATCGCCTTGATTATTTCCTGCCTGATCTCATGTAAATCATACGTGAGTTTCGAAATTAACCGCTTGATAGCGCGTTCTTCTGATCAAGGACATATACGATGGCCTGATCCGACCAAAAATGCAGGTATCGCGGGAAAATTGGGATAACCTCTCAGATGATGTGTGCTACCTCAATCCAGATCCCGAGGCTCAACGACATGCGGATGGGCATTCACGCGACAGACAGAAGAAAGAGGGGGAGATGAACGATGTTGAAAAGGAGGCATGGAAATCATGGGAGAACTGTGCGAAGGTCTGCGAGTCCCAGGATGTCCCAGATGAAGAAGAATGGGATATACGAGGAATCATAGAACGCGAAGACAAGGCCCCCAGCACTGCTAACGACACGGAGGTTGCTGAAGACACTTCACCTAGCGATGCTGCGGCCCGGGAAGCGTGGAAGAAGGCCATGAACGAGAAGAAGCGGAATCGATCCTGCTTCCAGTACCGCTGGCACGAGGATGTATGCTGTACGGCAAAGAGCTTCAAATTGGGTGCGCCTAAGATGCCGCCTGATGATGGCGACGCCAAAGCCAAATGGGTCAGTGGTTGGCACTTGAAGGGCATCAACGACTGGATTGACGCAATGGGGGAGTGCAAAAAGCCTGCCTGGAAGACGCCCGACTCTTGATCGGTTTCGCTTGGAGACAACTCTTGGCACCGGAAAGACAAGTAACGTTTTCTACACCTTTGCAATATGACGAAACTAATAGAAGAAATATCGGACCGGAGGAACCGGAGAGATTTCATCATGGCCTATATTTGTAAAACATGGACGGTTTCCAGCGGTCAGGTCTCAGTGAGGATATCACAACACGGCGTTCTTGGCCTTTCGCGGGCGGGGGCTCGGGGAGCAACCCATTATAGAATTCGCGGAGCTTAGGATGATATGAGCTTTTGCTTAGGTTAGCATGGTTCGTACTATCAATGAGGATATTTGCATTGTCTCGGACCGATCAACAGCTGCTGGAACAGCGTCGTTTTCGTCTATTCCGGTTTTTTTGTAGTGGAGACCATGGTAGAGGACTAAAAAAAAAGGCTACTATTTATCGTCTTTGGTTGATATTGAATACCTACATCCTAACCTTGGGTAAGTACCTAAGGTAAGTACCTAAGGTATTGACTATCGAATATAATTGATTCTCGATTCTCCGTCGTTGAAGAAAGTAGAGTTTCAGCTCTTGAATGGAAGACAGCTATCCAAATAGTTTAAACTAGCGGTATGGTCCAGTTACTTTGAATACCACCCCTATTGCCCCACGGACCCCCATGTGGACGAAAATGTCCCCAACTAACGGTTTTACCATTCTGGGCATTGTCGCTCGCGCTGGTTGGCTGGCCCAGGCTGTCACATTATAATTGTTGATGTTGTATTCGGTAAGTTACTTAGAGGAGGATCTATATAGTATTTATGTACATGTGGGGTCATGTGATCATGACACAGGCGATGCAACATTGAAGTCTAGGTAAAATACATAAGCTTGACCTACCCTGTACATATGTAGTGTTGTTATCCGCAGGATTGTAACGTCTTGGCGCGCCCACCAGACCTACATGTAGACCCTGTTCCTAGCGATTAGCTTGCTCTGTTATAGATTCTAGATCTGCTTCGACGAGATCGATTGAGGGGCGTGCGGAGGCATGGGATTTGTGAAGTGGATCTATCGCGTCGACTTGGATCGTAAGTGTATTTTCACTATTCCGTAGAGTTAGGACGATTTAGAGCAGACGATTATATCATTAAAGAGGTCGCTTAATGTGCCTAGGTAATTATGGTAAGAATATATGGGCTTTACATCTGTCCTATGAGTTTCATGTAACTGGCTCCCGTAGACGCCATGTTAACATAGGGACATGCCTTGCTGTAGATACGACTGTCCGGACCCGAATGGTGGTACCTGCACGGGACCGAATAGGTCGCAATTAAAGCGAAGCTCTGGCAGCTTCACGTCTGCCGATGATCCTGGAGGACAGCTGAGCTGCTGAGTGAAGTCGGGGGTATTAGGAGACAGACCGTCATCGTCACCATCGGCTCGTGGTAGTAAGCCGAGACCAGACCCGGTGGTTATGTTTTCGCTGATGTCGTGCGGCTCTTTAAGTCCCCTCTTTGAATGAAGCGAAATCTCACCACTTATAGGACCATATATATTAATGCGCTTGTCCGGCATATATGCTTGTTGGGGACCCGTTGCCTTTGAAGAAAGGGGTGTTAGTATTTACATTCTAAATAAGGGAGGAAAAGAACGACCTATCCAGTTAATAAGGCCCAAGATAGCGGCCGTGGCCTTGTAACCTATGTTGTAGAAGGCGTAAACACCACACCATAGCTGTACTGGAAAATTACCGTCTTGATGTCCGCCTGGCCTGAGGCCTGAGGCCTGAAATGAAAGGTCGCCCATGACGTATCCTGTAAGCTGCGCATCCATAATGGTCGCGCTCACTAGACTTCCACCTCCAATCTTTATCCCGACATTGGCTTCAGGCGTAACGATAACATCCAGCTGCGCATCAAGTTCCACACCCGGGTACTGATGAACCACGTTAATTAAATATTTATTTACTACTTCGTATAACAATACGCTAAAGCCCCCATAGCTTTAGCCCCTAAGTAGGTATGAATCAGTGTTTATTCGTCCGAATCATAGACAAACTCCTCCGATAAAATCCGACGGGGCTTTTCAGCTTCTTCTTCGGCCTCGTTCTCATTTTCGTCCTCTCCAGGCCCACTAGCGCCCGGACCATAGTAGTCGAGCAGCTCATCTCGCGCGGCATAATGCGTCTCTTCGGTAACGAGTCCATATCTCCAGATGTTCTCCCACACGTCGAAGACGTAATCCTGACAATTCCACTGGGCGGCCCGCTCTTCCTCCGCGGCGTCGGCAGCCCGGACAGCGGCTTGGATCTCATCCAGGCGACCACGAGGCACAGCGCCCATTCTGACCAAGTGTCGAAACCTTGTCTCGCGGGTTGGATCAGCGCGGATATAATTTGCCTTATATGGCGCGAAGGGTTGCTCTTGGGCAACCTCCCAGATATGCCAAGCGTCTGCCTCCGGAGCGTCGCAATCGCGAACGGCGAGCGACCAGTGGAGATAGTTTCCCTCTAAAGGCGCAAAAATAGCCGTATTAATGGTCAAATGGTCTCGAGCATCCTGGCTACTAGGTTTAGCAACGTTGCTGCTTGTCTTGGCCACTTTACCATCTCTTATAGCGCCTCTCTGCCTAGAATTTGGATCGATGTCGTTTTTGAACATGACATTCTCATATTGAGCCGAAGATGGGCCGAAGCTGGTGAACATCTTGACCTCGAAGTGTGCGGTGCATTGGTTCTATGTTGCAGTCGTTAGTGTTACGTGGAAACAATAAGTTGTTCGAAGCGCGGGCTTCGTAGCTTTATTATGGCTGGGGGGATTTTATGCCGGTGCTTCGGTCCGATACAGCTTATGGTGGACCATTAGTGCAACTGTGCCAAAATTAAAAAAGTCGGTTGCATTATGCCTAATATAGTTAAGCGCATTATAGCTATTGAAATTTATATATTTTAAAAATTAATAATAGGTATTTGCGTTTTATACGATTTAAGTAAATATTTTTTAATAATTGGTATATATTTATTATACGAAATAATATATTGTTTAAAAAAAATTTAAATTTTATAAATTATTTTTATAATAATTAATTTAAGTATATACGGTTGTATTTTAATAAAAAAGATATTAATTAATTAGATTTAATTAAGCGATTTTATATATATAAAAAAATTTTAATATAATTATTGTGGTTATTTATAAAATTAAACTTTTTATAAAGTTAATAAAGTAAAAAATGGTTATATTATTATATTAATAAATTTAATAAATAAGTATATGTATTTATTTTATAAGGTAATTTGTAAATAATATTATTAAAAAAAAAAAAGTTATATTATATATATAAATATAATAATTAAACATTATAATTGTAATTATTTATTAAAGTATGTATTTTTCGAAATTAAATAAGTAAATAATTAATATTTTAACTTATAAAACAAACGTTTATTAATTAAGCTATTTGGTTTTTAAATAATAATTTTAGTATATATTTAACGTTTTTTAAATTTAAATAACAGTTTATTTTTAAAATAACTTTATTTTTACCTTTTTTTTTTTTTTATATATAATTTGTTATAAAATAAAAAATATGTATAAAATTATATAACGTTAAATATATTATAATATTTAATTGTAATAAAATTAATAATATATTTAAAAAAAAAAAAATTAAAAAAGGATAAGTTTTCGATTAATTTTTTTCTTAAATTAAAGTTTGTTTACTTTAACTTTAAGATATAAAATATAATGAATTTAAGGATTGTTATTTAAACTTTATTATTTATATTATTAGATTAAAAGTTATTATATTTTACCGTATTTTTTTAAAGGTGGTTTAAAACCGGTTTTCTTTTTTAAAAGTTTTTTTAAAAAAAATTAAAAAGAGTTATTATAATATTTAAGTATTTAAATCAATTAATAAATAGTATTATTGTTTATAATAATATTTTCTAATTATTTAAATTAGTTTTAAGTTATAATAGCGATATTTAATTTTTTTATTATAATTATAAGTAAATAAATATATAATTTATATAATTATAATAATAAATTTAAGTTTTTATAATATTTAAAAAGTAATTTTAAGTTTATATATATTAATAGTTAATTACGATATAAAACGTATTATATTTATTTTGTTATTTTTAATAAAAATAAAAATAATATAAATAAAAAAGTTATAATGTTATTAATTAATATATTTAATTTAATTTTAAAAGTTTTAAAGATGTTAATTTTAATTAATAAATTATAATTTATTTGTTTTATATAATATTTTATTAATTAAATAACTTTTTTTTTTAAAAATTGATAATATATTAATAATTTAAAAAAAAACGGAAATGTTTGTTTTTTTTAAATAAATGTATTAAATTACGAGTTTTATTTTAAGTGGTTAATAATAAAAGTTTAAAACTTAACCGTAAATAATTATTTGCATTTTTTATGGCGTTTTTATTTATTTTTATTATTTTAATAAATTTAAATAAATTAAATATACGTTTATGTTTTAAATTAAATAAAAAACTATTATTTTTTATATATATAAGTTTAAAAGTTATATCGGTAAAATTTTTAATATTAATATTAAAAGTAAATAATTATTGTTTTTTAATTAAAAAGTAAATATTAAAAGTATTAAATTTAACTTTTTTAATTTAAAATTAATTATAAGTTTTTTTATCGAAATAAAAATTCGTAATATTTAAGTTAAAGGTTTTATTTATATTATTATATTTTAAAGTTTTATTAAAAGTTTACCATAACGGAAAAAAAGGGTTTGGGAAAATGATTCCATAAATATGAAATTATTTTATATATAAAAATTATTACATATAATGGTAATAACGGAATTAGTTTAATGCATTTTAACATCGTGAAATGATTTTAAAATGTGGAATGGTTTTGTAAAATAAAACGATTTTGATATTCATGTGACTTTCACGTGACTTTCACGTGGAAAAGTGGGGCAAAAGTCAAAAAAGTTGAAAAATTTTAAAAAGACTGGTTTTCGAACCCACAACTTTTGCGTTTGTGTACGTATTATAAACCCCATAATTTAATTAAAAGGTTTAAAGTTTAAAGTTTAAACGTTTAAATTAATAAAACGAGGTGGTTAATTTTATCGAATTATTTCGGAATGAAATTTCATTTGATTTTAATCTTTATAACTTTTATTTCGGAAAAAGTAAAAAAGTAAAATTTTAACTTTTTTTTTCGAAATTTTTATAAAATTTTTTTTTTTTTTAAATTAAAAGTCGGGCAATCGTTTTTAAAATGGGAACGATTGTATGGGATAAAATGGTTTTACGGTTATAAAACGGTTTTTATAAAATAAGATTTTAAAAGCGGGTCCGTGACCCATTATTCTTAAATTTTGACTAATTAAAGCCTTTAAAACCCAAAAACGTTACGCCGTATAAAACCATTCTAGTTTTAAAATCATTTTTTTAAACCTTTTTTTTTTATTATAATAATTATATACGATATATAAAAAAAAAAAAAAATTTGTTAAAAATAAATACCTTTTATTTTTAACTTTATTAAATAAAAGGTATTTATTATTTTTAACTTCGTAAAATAAAAAGTAATTTTTATTTTTATTATTATTATTATTTAAACGCGGTTTTTTATTATTAAAATTAATACTTTTATTAAATCGGGGTAAATAAATACGTAAAAAACTAAGTTAACGTTTAAATATATTCGAATTAAACATTTTTCCGCATTTTTTATTAATTTTACCATTTTTATTCGAAATTAAAACCTTAATTTTATATTAAAATTTTTTTAAAAAAAAATATATAATATTTTTATTAAAAATTAACCATATAAAACAAACGAATAAATATTTGGCAAAAATACCTTACAAGCCTTTAATTTTAATATTTTAATATTTTATAATAATTTTATAAGTTTTATTATCGTTAAAACTTATACGGTTAACGTATATTATAAACCAATATATTTTAAACAAAATATAAATGGTAAATTTAAAGAAAAAAGTTAAAAAGTTATAATTTTATAAATAATAAAAGTTATTTTAAAATAAAATTTTATTTTTTTAATTATTAAAGATATTTTTATCTGCATTAATAAAAATATTGCTTATTTTATTTTATTTTATTTAAAATATTTTTTATTTTAAAATAATATAAACTAATTTAACGCCATTTAAATCGTTTAAAATATAATATAATTTGGTTTTTTAAGTTTTAATAAATATTAAATTGTTTAAATTTATAAAAACTTTTACTTAACGCCAAAATAACGGTATATTTTTAAACAATATTTAATTATTAAAAATTAAAATAATAATATAATATTTTTTATAAATTGGCAAAAATAAAAACAAAATTAAAAAAACAATAAAAAAATAAATTTTAATTTTAAAAATATTATTATTAAATACGGTAATATAATCTTTTATATTTATAATTTTAAATAAAAAAAGGTTATTTAAATTTATAAAATCTTTATTTTTATTATTTTTTATAAAATTATTTATTAAAATGCAATAAATATAATATATTATTAAATATTATATATTATTATTTATTATTAAAAATTGTAATATTAGGTTATAATTAATTATAAAAGAATAATATAAATAATAAACGCAAATATATTAAAAAAAATAAAGATTAAAAATATATAACTTTTTATTTAAGCAATAAAAAGGTTATATAATATTAAGAAATGTAAATTTAATAAAAAAAATTAACGAAATATTTATTAAAAAATATAATAAATTTATTTTAAAAAGATTTAAAAAAGAATTTAAAATAAAAATATTTTAAAAGGTATAAATAAAAGTAAATAGGTTTAAAATATTATTAAAAAAAAATCTTTTAAATTTTAATATAATATATCAAATGTAATGTTATATATTTATAAAATGTTAATATATATTAATTAATATTATAAAGTAAAGTAAATTAAGTAAATAAGTAAGTATATTTTTATTTAATAAGTTTTTTAAATAATTTTCGGAAAAATTATTAAATTATATTAAAATAAAATTTATAAAACTTTAATAATAAATAAATATTATATTTATAAGGGTTAATTATAATATATTATATTATTATTATATAATAATTTAATAAATTTTATAAATTAAGTAAAGTTAAATAATTGTATAAAATTTAATTATTTATAAATTAGGTTAAATATATTAATTTTTAAGGTTTATTATATACAATTATATTATTAAATTAATTTAAAAAATTTTATAAAACTATATTTAATTATATTAATTATATTAAATTTTTTATCGTAAACTTATTATTATTTATTAATTATATTATTTAAAATATATTTTTTTTTTTTTTTATATATTAATTTAAAGTTTAAATTAATTAAATATATTTATAAAAAAACTTTTTTATATATTAATATAATATATTTACTAAAAATTAATAAATGTATATATACGCGTAAATTATATAAATTAACGTAGATTAAAAAATAATTAATAAACATGATTTAATATAAAACTATTTTTACCTATTATTATAAAATTAAAAAGTTGGTAAAGAAAACGATAATTTTTTAAAAAACTTAAAATATCAAAAATTTTATAGTAAATTATAAAGCTTATATATATATATATAATTAAAATGTTTAATTTAAGATTAAATTACGTAAATATCTAACAAAATTAAATAATTATATAATTTTTAACCGTAATAATTTTATTTTATAATAAGTTATAAAATGTTCGAATTTATTGTGGTTTTATTTTAGATCTTGTTTTAAGGGTTTTATTTTAAAGGTTTTATTTTAAGTTTTATTTTAAATAAGTATTAAATTTAATTAATTCGAAAATTATTATAAGATAAAACGAAATAATA